ATATTTTGCATAACGCATTGTCTGGCAGACCTCTACCAAGATTGTTCAAATTATAGCTCTGGGGTCAAAATCGGCCCCGTCCCGGGGGTTATAAATTTTCACTTTATGTACATATAATAAAAACTTAAATACTTCTTGTCTGAAGGTACAAGGCTTAGAGATTTCATATTTGGTATGTGATATCATCTATAAGTACTCTACCAAAGTTGTTCAAATTTTGCCTTAAGTGTCATTATATGTATATAGTAAAATTTAAAAAAAAATTCTGCTCGCAATTGACAAATGCTAGAAGTTAGATATTTTGCATGAAACATTGTGTAGTAAACTTCTAGCAAGATTGTTTAAATTATAGCCCTGGGGTCAAAATTTACCCCGCCCCGGGGGTCATTAATTTCCACTATATACAAGTTATGTAAGGTAAAGGCTTAGAGCTTAAATATTTGTTATATGATATCATCTAAAAGTACTCTACCAAAGTTATTCAAATTTTGCCTCTAGTGTCAAAATTAGCCCCGCCCCGGGGGTTATAGGTTTTCCTTATATGTATATAGTAAAAAATTAAAAATCGTCTTCTTTTAATTGACATAGGCTAGAAGTTAGATATTTTGCATGAAACATTGTGTAGTGAACCTCTTGCAAGACTGTACAAATTATAGTCCTGGGGTCAAAATTGTCCCCACCCCCGGGGTCATTGATTTTCACTATGTACACATTGTAAAATATTAAAAAATTCTTGTCTGAAGGTACAAGACTTAGAGCTTTGATATTTGGTATATAATATCATCTATAGGTCCTCTACTAAAGTTGTTTTAATTATGCCCCTAGTGTTAAAATTGCCCTGCCCCAGAGGCGATAGTTTTCCTGATATAATGTATAGAGTAAAACTTTGAAAAATCTTCTCTGAATTGACATAGGCTAGATGTTAAATATTTGGCATTAGAGTTTGCAAAGTGTACCTCTACCAAGATTATTCAAATTATAGCCCTGGGGTCAAAATTGGCCCCGCCCCGGGGTCATTGATTTTCACTATGTACATTTAGTAAAAAAATAAAAAATCTTATTGTCTGAAGGTACAAGGCATAGAGCTTTGATGTTTGCTAAATAATATCATCTATAGGTCATCTACCAAAGTTGTTCAAATTTTACCCCTGGTGTCAAAATTGGCCCTGCCCGGGGACATTGATTCTTATTATGTACAAATAGTAAAAACAGAAACTTAAACAAATGTTTTCTGGAGAAAGCTACAGCTTAGACATTTGACATGAAATGTTGTTTGGTGGACCTGTATCAAGATTGCTTTGAATTAAACCCTTGGGTCAAAATTTTGACTTGCCCAAGGGGACAGTGACCTACTGGCTTGTCCTTTGATGAACAGATATGAATTTTTGACCATGTGCACAGTTTTAGTTGTAAAATTGAACTTTGATATCAAGTGACCTAGATTTTGATGATGTGACCTACTTTCAGCTATGAAATTTGAACCATGTTCACATATTAAGATGTAAAGTGAACTTTGATATAAGCTGACCTAGACTTTGACAAAGCGTCTTACTGTGTTGTCCTTTGATGTAATCATGAAATTTAGGCTGTGTGAAATATGACCAAATTCGCTAGACTCACCTGCATTGATACATTCCTACTCTGATCTTTTATTTGAATAGCAATATAATAGATTTAACCACTAATCTGATAATAAGAATTAGATAGGTCAGGGATCTATGCATTATGACATTCTTCATTTGTATAGAAAAAAAATATGTTCCTACACTATTATTAAGTGTTGTATTAATGCGGTGGCATAGCATTTTTCACAAATGCCATCTTGTTTGTAATTATGGTAATGTTAGATCCTGTACGCGTCACGTTTTTTTCCAGGGACAAGAAACGATGGCATTTCCTATTAACATGGACTCATTTCCATGTTTGAATCCTATTTCGATTTCTCCGTTCTTTGACAAAATTTAGCATAAACAATATGCTGTCTGTTTGCTTTTTATTGCTCGCTCCGATGCAATTATCACATTTATTTCTGAAAGTGAGATCACTCTTAACACAAGTAAAAACTGTGCATTAGCGGTGCTGTGGTACGTTATCACTCTGACAAAATATACCACAGTCAATAGTAAGGTACATTCGCTTTGAATTTCGAGTTTGTTAAAATTGAAACAAAATTAACGTATATTTAGTACAATAACGATAATGATATTGTACAGACAAAAAATATAATCTAACTAAAAATATTTATTTAAAAACACAAATAGTAAAACTTTCAACAATTTAAAATAATTATCTTGTGTTGCACATGTTTAGAAATAGTGGAGAGGTTTTTCTGACAACTAGATAGCTATAAGCCATAATAGAAGCATTAATCATTACAATCATAACGACTCGGTTTAAATCAGTCTGCACATGACGGATAATGAATAAGTGAAACATCCCTCTCGCCTCCTAGAACCGGCCTGGGTATTACTCAATTCTCAATACTAAAAATGGCTGGCGTCAATGATCCAGAAGGACCAGAAAAATATAACAACATATAAAAATATAACTTTCTCTGTGGGTTACAGACCCCAGACATGTCACTAGTCATGCCCTTAAAAAGCTTATGTCGAAGAACAGGGACGGTGATTATTAACTTCCATGCAGTTGTCACGGAGTATATAAACTGACTAAAAACAACAAGTTTGTTTGATGTTGGGTTTTGATGATGAAATTCTAAAAAAAAAAAAAAAAAAAAAAAAATATCAATAAAATAAAACCAGAAAATCAAAAGCATATAAAAATCTTAAACATAATCAAAATGCTATGTTTACAAAAAAATTTCTTTCTTGTGACGTCGGCGACATAAAGAAAACACTTCTCCGTCGCCTGTCTGTCTGTCCGTCCGTCTTAAAACTTGTCCGGTCTACTCCTCATAAACTACTTGTGCAATTACATCCACACTTCACAGGAATAGTCCAAGTCTTGTTGTGCATATCGTCAGAATTTTCCTGTTCAATGTTTTTTGTCCGAGTTATGGCCCTATAATAATTTTATTTTCAAAGATTGTCCGGACTACTCCTCTTATACCACTAATGCAATTTCAATGAAACTTTACAGATTTAATGATTTTGACCGAGTTATGGCCTTTAAATGAAAAAGGTGGTTTTTCTTGTGTGTTTCTAGATACACAAAAGTTTGTCCGGACTTCTTCTTAAAAACTTCTGGTGCAAAGGAATAATCAGTATCAAGTTTAGTTGTGCATATCATCGGCTAATTATGGTTCAATGTATTTTGTTGGAGCAATGGCCCTCTTATTATTTTTTAAGTGTGTCCGGACTTACTCCTTTTTTCTGTGACCCCTGGGACAGAGCCAACATTGACCCCTTGTGCACAACTTATATACATTTTGTAGATGTCAACAAGGCATCCTTCGTGTAAAATATCTAACTTTTAACATAGATATAATACTTTTGAGGATGTGAAAACGACGAAATGGAAAATTTTGCAGGCTCGGTTTGATTAAGGCTGTTCATGGACGGTAATGGAACGTGCAAGTTACCGTCCACGGCCCATAGCAAACCTCACTCTTAGTCCCCCTGATATATTCCTTTAAACAAGACAGTGAAAATAATACGAATACACGCCAAGCGAAATACTTACAGATTTTATGGTTTCAAAAGGTGAACTAAGTAAAACACAGAAATGCTCATGAAGATACATACAGAAGGTACAACAAATGACAATAACCAAAGTACACAATGTCTTAAAGGAGGACAGAACAGCAAGAATATCATATACAAGGGTCATAGTTGAACACTAAGCATGCAATATGTTGTAAAAAAGTAGGGTCATAACCTCTTTTAATGAAACGTTTAATTATTTTAGAAAAGGCAGCAGAAAAATACCATGACCCGAAATCTACGCAGTTTGCAAATCATATATCATAAAGAAATCAAGCCTGCTTCCATTGTCGCAGAAGAGTTTTCAAAATGCTATTGAATTTTTTTATTTTAATTTTCTTATTAATATAACCCCAGCTAATATAGAAAATTTACTATATCAAAATAAAAGTCAACTATGGTGTGTGGATAGTATTATTATCGACATTAACATGAAAATACAAGTATGATGTGTTGATTTTTCAAGAATTCGTTTAAATTAAATTAAAAGTTCTTTTGGATCGATATTTGGCGCAATTTGTTAAAAATAAGAATTATCTTAATTTAAATATCAAGGTAACGGTATATGTGTTATCTTATGCCACTATTACAACTTGCTGTGTACCTTCCATCGAGGGATTTTAAAATAACTAAACAAATGTGTGGCATGATAAGACAGTATTTTATGCGAAAAACATTATCCCTTGCTAAGAGGTCTGCGGTTAGAAATGTCTTGTCCATAACCATGTCGTGCATGTAAAGGTGCAAAATGTTTATCAAAATGACTCTTAGCAATTTTAGTTATCAATACTTTGTCAATAATACTGATTTAACTAATGTAAAAACCTTTTAAACATCTATTTTTCCAGTTTCATGCTCCAGTACAGAGACAACTGAGAAATATGTGCTCTGTCATTTTGAACTTAAGGCCATATGAACGCCGGTTCACATTTGAAACAGTCAAGCCTTTAGGTATAAGTAAGTTTAAGGCTGGGCATATCTAATACATGTTGTATGGTGAAACTGGAACTTTATATCATGTGAACAAGACCACATGTCGTGTTGTCTGAGAAACAGCAGTTTCATATATGAGCACCTTTGAATGGAGTTAAGTGTCATAAAGTTAAGGTCTAAAGTGCTGAAAAAAGATTTTTACACTTTAGTTCGTTCAGCCTTCGTTTATTAATAGGTGCCTTTCATTTTGGAAGAATGGTGCAAATTTGCGTGATCTTCTTCCTCTTTGTAATTGAATAAGGTGTCAGTAGATGAAGATCAGGGGTGCTAAATTTGCTTATTTTCAAAGACCACACTTTTGATAGTCCAGTGCTTGGAGTAACAAGATCAGTGTCAACCTGTGCTAACAAGATATTTTTAAACTTTAATTGATACAGTCTTTGTATTGCTTACCAATTTTAATATTTTTAAGAAACATATCTGAGGTTGTTTTACGTTTGTGTGGAGTGCCGTCACTAGGTATAAAGTCAAGGTCTATCATTATACCCCCACAAACGAAGACTAAGGGGTATAAACGAGTTAGCTTGCGATCGGTTGGTCTGTCCTTTTTTTGGTCCACGTCATGGTTTCCGGACATAAACTAGAGTTAGGAATGAGATATTGTAATCAAACCTGGTGTATAGCAAGCTTATATGAAGACCGCGGTTGGGATTGCAATTAATTGAAATAATTCTTTGTACACAGTTGATACATCATTTACTATAGGTTGAGTTTAAATGTTTCTTCAGGCAACTTATTTTTCAAAAAGTCAAAGTTGCTGGTGGGGGGTATTAAATTACTAATCACCTTCAGTGATAGGTCTAGTTTATATATATTTGATTATGTTTACATTTGTTATGTTTTTCATCTTCATCAAACAGCAATGACATGTCAAATGATATTTTTCACAATAATAAAACATCGTGATTCTGTCAAGTTATATAACGGTGTTAACAAATTCTATCGATAACAAAGAGAATGGGTTAACCTTTCTTGAAAAATTGTAACTGACAAGAATCTTGGCCGTGGGTACTTGTGTTTACCAAGCACGTTGTAGGTATGACTTTATTTTAACGTTCATGTTTTAATTTCAGGTAACAAAACAAAGTCACGAGATCAAAGAGACCAAAGTAAGATAATGTTATGCATTATAAAAAAAATAAAATAGAAATTTTATTCATTTTTGTCGCAAAAGATACATACTCATAACAAATTATTTTAGTTCGACCTTTTCGTAGAAAAAAAATCTAAGTATTTCTACAGTCGCCCATATCCGTTTCAATTGCCTTCCAGAAACATTAACATTGGTTATAATGAATAACCTCATACATGTTCCTGGACACAACAACCTTCTGAATAAGACCTTCATCAGACAAGACAAGTACACCAGACTGAATTTTACCTTATTTTAAAACTGACTGTAGCCTTCCAGGTCTTTTTTTAAATGCTTGTTGTTTGCAGTAATTAGCTATAAATTTGTTACTCTCAAATTGATTATTTTCCCACTTGAACACAACAATATTTATATGCATGACCCTTAAATAGATTAAATTGATTATTGATTATTCAATTGTCAATGGTCTATGACAATTATTTATCAATTGCCTTAATGTTGAAGGTCAAGGTTTTGATTATCACCTGATTTGTTTGTTGAGCCCGCTTGTTGGCAGCTCGACATAGTTGTCGCATCGAAGGTTGGGTGTATGAACGTGTGTCCATATTATGCGTGTCTAGCTCGTAACTTTGTTAAGAGAAGGCAGAACTTCAAATAACTGAGCGCAAATATTCACAATAATGAAACGGCGTGTGGCACCCAAGAACCACGTGGTTTAATCAAGAGTCAATGCCATACTTTTACCAGCTTGTCCGCACCATAACTCTATCAGTAGCTGGTTTAATTTCAAGTAACCTGGCATAAATGTTTAACATCATAAAATGTTGTATCGAGCGCAAGAACCGTTTTGTAAGGTCAAGTGTCAGGGTCCTAGTATCGTCCTGATTATGCTTGTCCCGATCGTAATTCAGTACTGAGGTGGCAGAATTTCAAATACCTAAGCACAAATGTTTAACATCATGAGATGGCGTGTCAAGTACAAGAGTCGTGTGGTTAGATCAAAGGTTCGGATCATACTTTAAGGTCAAATACAAAGAGATATTATATCAAACAGCTTGTTCACACCATAACTCTAACACTTGCTTGTGGAATTTCAAATTACTTGGCACAAATGTTCAGCGTCAAGTCAAGAATCGTATGACTTGGTCAAAGGTCAATGTCTTACTTTAAGGTCAAATGTCAAGAAATGTTATAAGTAGCTTGTCCGCACCATAACTCTATCAATAGCTGGAGAAATTTGAAAAAAAAATCTCAGGCACAAGCATTATAAGACGTAGATAATACAACATTCAAGGCCAAATTGTTTTTTAAAGTACTATATGACCTTGAACTTGGAAACACTTTAAACAAAAAGGCCCTTTCAGTGATATTTGTGGTTGTAACATTGAAATGTAGGGTTGTGACTAAGAAACCATTCCTTTCTTTTACACAATTTGATTTATTTAAAGATACTCCATTGTATATTTTGACCTATTTGCATTACTTGATTTATTTTAAAGATATTGTATTGTATATTTTGACCCTTAAAGTTATAGTGGTGTACTTTTCCGTTTGTTCATCTGCTAGTCCATTTGTCTATCGGACATTCTTTACATAAATTATTAAACGTGATGACGACGTGTCGTGAGCTAGAGTTTGATAGTTAGCTCAAAGTTCAAATTCAAACCTTTATGTTCAAAGTCACAATATTAATTAGTGAATAGATGGTCATGTCAGGTGCATGATTAAATAATTAATGAGGAATTCGAAAAGCTTATATATAATTTTTTTTTGCACATCGAGCTCAAATGTTTCGTACAAAGCTTTTAGTCCAGGCATAAATTAAGGGCAATTCCTGATACCCTACAGAAAAGCTAAATGTAGGGGTATTTTGTCTAATGACAGTAACAGTCCTAGATTATTATGTAGATGGCCACTGCTTCAAATTACTGCTGTGAGTATTTAGACTATATTTATACAAACAGAAGATGACATATTTCCTTTTCCATCCAGGTGGAACAAATATTTTAGTTAAGTATCAAAATGTTAGAAAATCTATACGACTCTTCATAGAATTTAGAAAAAAGACATACATGTTTTCCTTTGAAGAGAAAGCTTACCTTCGCTTTTATGCAAGTAATAGATTTTTAAAATGATAGATTCATGTTTATTACATAAAAATTGGCTTTAAATGTAAAATTGTCATTAAAGTAGCAAAATGTAAACAAGTTGGTGTTTGTCCCCAATACAAATTAATAAAATACTTCACCAGTTACTGTATTTTTAGCCAAATATTGAAGGACTGTGCAGCTCAATGGCATATGAGTAGCCTTTTGGAAACCACAACGAATCAGAAAAGAATGAAAGGGCTTTGTAAATACAATGTACAAGCAAGAACTTTGGGTTTCTTAATTTTTAATGAGCATTTAAGAAGTACATATATATATATATATATATTTTCTTTTGCTGCTTTTGTATTTCAGGGATTCCTTTAGTTGAGACTGACAGTGGTAAGAAATTATTTTTATTTTATAGCATTAAGATGTACAATGGTAGCTCCACACAGCGAGTACCTTGTAATTTCAACCGGTTAATGTTGCTCTTTAACTTCACTTTTGGCCCAGACATGTCCCTGTAAAACATGACCATGTTTTTTTAAGCACTCCCTGCCAAACGGTTTTCTAACAATTGTCAAATGATACATGGTAAATAAGATCAACAAGGAAAGGCGGTTCAAAGAACGGTTGTATCAGGTGAAATTAAAAAGACATACTGCTCAAGTAAAAAAAAAGAGAAAACCTAATTGCCATAACGAATGTGCCATAACAGAAGCTCAAAGTAGCAAACAAATAAGCTACCAGTGCCGAATGAAATAATTAAGAAGACAAAAGATAAGTCATTGATATGGGATTTAAGAACAAAACATATCGACTCCAACTTGACCCGTCAGGTGGAAGCAAAAGAAGAAAGTGAAGTGTCCAACTGTGAAAAGTTTGAATACTAAGCATGCAGTATTTTCAATGTACCTTTTATGATATACTCCTTTTATAAAACATTTGATAATTTCACCAACAGCCAATGCAAAATCGTCCTTAAAACCTAACTTAGTTTATAAAACACATTTTCTTTAAGCTGGGTTACTTAAACCTAACCGCATGTTTTTTTTTCTTCAAAATTTTGGTGACTTACTCAAAATTTCGAGGGAATACTTTTTAAATCGCTTTAGTTGTTGAAAGAGTTTATTAGTTATGTATCAATTTTGTAAAATAATGTCCTCCGCACGGCTATATGTCATAGAATATCGGGAAATATGCACCACATTGGTTGAAGCACGGAGTTCATGACAAATTCAATTTGGAAATATCAGCTTTGTAAGGATGTAAGTCAACCTTTTTGCTAAATATCTTATCATTAATATTATTTATACACACAGAAATATGCAAGTCAGAAAAATGTGAAAAATTCATTTGAATTAATTGAAGAATGTTTGGATAAATATAATGTATTAACTTTATTTTTTTTACAATATGAATTGTTAATATTTAAATGCATAAGGGTAACTGGAATGCCGTTTCTTCGGCTTGTGTATTCTGTGAACAGGTCAACATAGGAATGCAAATATGTTGTTTAAAACTGCTTTTCTGAAACTATCACAATATTATCTAACGGAAAGGAAAGTGCTTTACAAACCTTGTCACAGTTTTAGATTTTTTGTGTGTTTTTGCAATGATATTTGTGTAGAACGTACTATTTGAACAAAATACTTGACGCTTAAGTCGGTTTCTTGCGAATTATTCTGAATTTAAAGAAATGAATTTGCTTTTGATCACTAAAATTATTTCATTTAATGATTTGAGGTAAGCTCCATTCAATTTTCTGTAGATTTTGTGTGTGTTTTTGCAATGATATTTGTGTAGAACGTACTTTTTGAACAATAGACTTGAAGCTTAAGTCGGTTTCTTGCGAAAATATTCTGAATTTAAAGAAATGAATTTGCTTTTGATCACTAAAGTTATTTCATTTAATGTTTTGAGGTAAGTTCCATTCAAGTGTTTTATTATACGGGCGGGAATAACAAATGTCAACAAATGTGGATGTATTTACGAAATTTCAACAGTAAAATCAAAATGCATTTTGATCTTGTATATTTATTCAGTTGTCTTGAAAGCCACCTATACATGTCTTTGTTCTTTGAACAGTTCTTTTACTATTTAACCTTCATAAATTTAGATCTGCCTAATACCGATCAAAATGATAAAACAATCAGAACGATTTCGGAAATAACATGCTTACGTTCCTTCGATATTATCTCCTTTTTATTTTGACTCTTCTGATTTGATTTCATCTATTGAAGTTGTTCCGGTAACTGATTCTCTTGAAAAATGAACTTAGTACTTCTTGAGAGCACTTTGATATCTTATCATGTTTTATAAGTAAATATCATACCTTCATGTGTTAGGTATTTGTATGTTTTGCATTAAACACGATAAATATTTGTGTTGTTTTTTCCAGGAGAAAAAAAACTTGAAACGAAACTACAAGGAACGTCTCTTACAGTTAGAGGTATGTTCATATTCTTAGTTTTTATGTGTCTCATTTATATTTTTAATGTAAAAAGTGGTATGACTAGTGTGATTTTATATTTATATTCATGCAATATGTTTGAGATTGTTCTTTTAAATGCAGATACAACTTGAACTTCACATTTTTTTCATTATCCCTCATGTACAGACTCAATAAAACCAAGTCTGCAATTTCATGCAATTTTGCTGTTATTGATGATTCCAAGGGAAAACCTTATTTCCAGTCTTTGGAAAAAAGATGAACATAAATTTTTAATTTGACATTTTGATTTTGATATATTTAAATTTATGTATGTTATGCATACAATGCTTACTGAATATTACAGCTTTAATCTATTTTTGAGAAACTTAAAGCGTATAAACGAGCACAAAGTTAATACTTAACATTTACATGTGTTCTGAGAAGTACAACTGGCATATCTTTTCCATTTTATTCTTCAATGTTTTCATATTTTTTGTAGCAATGTAGTGTTATCCTCCCTTAATTGAAATCATGATAAATTAATAGCACCATCCGCGAAACTGTAATTAGATAGAGATATGTCTGCGGGCGGTCGTAAAGAATTTCTTCCATGCGCAGCTGTTACATTTCTCAAGGGATTTTGACTAAACATTGTCATAAGTGCTCTGGTGCGTTCTCTCTGAGTTTGGTCTAATTATGGCCCTTTGTTTCTTCCTTATATGTAAAATATAGTGAACAATTTCTTTTGTGCATAACTACTTCTACAGCTCTTGTCATGCTAAAACTCAAATGATCAGCTGCAAAGGAATGATGTTAGCTCTACTATTCGATAAGAATAAGTCAACCGAGCGTCTACGTCGACGTTACCTTTAATGTTAAAGTTTGCTTACCACCTCAAATATTTTCAAAGTCGTTGACATATGCTTTGAAACTTTTCACACTTGTTAACCACCATGCACCTTATGTGTTGATAGGAGGAGGTAACTCTATCAAGCATTTTTACAGAATACTGCCCTCTCATCGACATACAATTTTCATTAAAGTTTGCGTATCACCTCAAATATTTTCAAAGTTCATTGACAGATGGCTTTGAAACTTTGCATACTTGTTCACCATCATGCCCCAGATCTGAACAACTTGATATATGAATATATGGCAGTCTGGCCCCGTGTTCACAAAGATTTAAGGGTCAGGATCAAGATCAGGATCAAATCTAAAAACTCAAATATTTTCTATTGTTTATTTTCATAGATTAAATATTTAATATTTACATGATAAAACTGGACTTGAAATAGCATGTTTTTGAAATTTTAGAATAAATTTATTGTTATTTTTGCAATATATGGGCATTTTACAATTGATCCAAATATTGATCTTTATTCAAAAATGATCCACATTTTGATCCGAGTATTTTTGTATTTGTTAAATTATTCATCGATTTTATCCCAAAGTAGGTTTGTTTCTTTGCAAATCAACAATTATTTACATTTTGAACATGTACCATTTAATTCTAGCAAAATACGATCAATATTAGTTACATGTATATAAAACATAGAAAATAAAATCAGGACAACTTGATCCTGATCCTGATCTTTTCTTTGTTGACACGGGGTCAGGAGATTATGCACGTCTTTATTCTTTTCTTCCAATGTTGAAAACTTTGGTTGCTGTGGCAACAAAGAGAGGCAATATGGCAAATTTAACACAAACTGGATCCAGTGATAACGCAAAAACTACTAAAATATTTTTGTGAAATTTGATATATAGTTAGATGGCAATCTTGAGATTATGCGTGTTTGTTTTTTCTTCCTGTATTGAAAATTTGGTTTCTATGGTGAAAAAATAGGCTTAAAATATAAATTTTGACTATAGGGAGTATATTATGAGTTGTCCTACTCAAGGAGCGTCGGCCACCTTGTCAAGATTTCCAGTTTTTACGCTTTTTGACTGTAAGTTCTTTTTTTTTTAAGGTATTGACTTCAGACTTCAAACTTAAAATGTATGTTTCTGATCATCAATCACTGCATATGTAATAATGTTTACAACACTGGCACAAAATTATCAGAATTACCTCCCTTGAACTTTGAATTTTCATAAAAAAATGTTTTGTTTTTTCATAACTTCTTTATTTCGTAATTAATATATTCCATACTTCATATATATGTTTCTTATTATCACTCAAATCATTTGTGAGAAGGTGTAATACTCTAGCATTACCATTTCCAGAATAATTTCCCCCTTGAACAATTTTTTTTCTTGAAATTAGTATTTTTACTCATATTTCTTCTTTTAGGATTTACTTCAAACTCCCACATCATAATTGTATGACAAGGTTTATAAATCTAGCATCCATATTTCCAGAATGATATCCTAATTGAACTTTGAATTTTACTTATATTTTTGAACTTTCTTATTTCTTCGTGGATTTACTTTAAATTAAAAATATACATTCAATATTAAAACCTACATCAAAGTCACGGGTTTCCATGAGTATTTTCATTTTGAATTTTAAATCTATTTGAATATTATTTTTATTTTTAATTCATCTATTTTATTTTTTTGTTATTAGCTCACATGAGGACAACGTGCTCATGGTGAGCTATTAAGATCCCCCACCGTCCTTCGTGCGTCGTCGTGCGTTGTCAACAATTTATTTCAACATAATCTCCACAGAAAGCAATTACTGCACATTAACCAAACTTTGCAGAAAAGATCCTTAGGTGGACCACTGCCAGTTGTTCAAACGGTTCTTGTCTGATGCATAAGTGGGTCACGGGGCCAGAAAAGGAGTTTAAAAATGCAAACTTAAAAACCATTCTTGTCTTAAAGTACAAGGTCTAGAGCTTTGATATTTGGTATATGATATCACTATAGGTCCTCTACCAAAGTTGTTCAAATTATAGCCCTTGGTCAAAATTGGATCTGTCCCAGAGGGTCATAGGTTTTCCTTATATGTATATAATAAAAACTTAAAAATCCTCTTGTTTGAAGGTAGAAGGCCTAGAGCTTAGATCTTTGGTATGTGATATCATCTATAGGTCCTCTATCAAAGTTGTTCAAATTATAAACCTGGGGTCAAAATTAACCCCGCCCCAATGGGTCATAGGTTTTCCTTATAGGTATATAGTAAGAACTTTAAAAAAAATCCTCTTGTTTGAAGGTACAAGGCTTAGAGCTTAGATATTTGGTATATAATATCATCTATAGGTCCTCTACCAAAGTTGTTCAAATTATAGCCTTGGGGTCATATTTGGCCCCGCCCCAGGGGTCCGTTTTTTTCTTATATGTATAAAGTAAACACTTAGAAAATCTTCTACTCTGAATTTACAAAGGCTAGAGGCTAGATATTTTGCATGAAGCATTGTGTACTGGAATTCTACCAAGATTGTTCAAATTATAGCCCTAGGGTCAAAATTGAATTTAAGACCTGGTTACTTCACTTTAGTATATCAATTGCATTTAGTACTCAGGTGAGCGCATTGGGGCCAATGGCCCCAATGTTATAAATTGAATCTTCTTTAAACTTAAGATAATTGTGATCTGTTACACTCATATCATGTATGACAATGTTCATAGGACTGACATCTTTATTTCAAGAGTTATCTCCTCTTTAAGAATTTTTAAAATGTTATATTATGGTAACAACCACGGATGTTTCAATATTTCCCTTCAGAGTATCTTTCAGTCCGTCTGTCCGTCCCTAAAACTGTTTCCTGAGATTACTTTTAAAGGACTTGGAACTTTTCAACAAATTTACTTGTAATAAAGAAAAGTTGAAACATTAGTTATACATATTCATCCTGGGAAAATTTGATCTTTTTGACTATCTGTTGTAGAAACATAATTTCCTTAATATGCAGGGACACTACGATACAGACAAACTAAAATCTGAAAAGATTTAGTTCATTCGTGCCATTCATTAATAGAATGGCTAATGGCCCTATAGAATGTTGCTTGGGTTCTAACCGGTGGAGGTCTTATGTATTGCTTGCAGTACTATGATAATTGTTTGTTTCTTGATCTAATGTAGATATTAACAACGCTTTTTCCTCGATAATAGAGAAAATATCATTTTAAAAGAGCTCCGAGCCATAGAGCACAAATCAATGTAACATTGACCTTATTTTAACTTTCACTTACACGTATGTGCCAAAAATGATCGGTTTGTAAAAAATATTTGAGCTTCCTGGTGTGGGCCCTTACATACAATAAAGTAAGGTCGTCTATTTATATCGTGACAATTTTGTAAGTTTGGTCACAACTTAAAGATACGAAAGATTTTTTCGAGACAACTAACTCGGACGTAAACTTTTATTAACTTGGATTTTGCTAGCGAATTAAAATACTACATTCACGATCATGCAAGTTCATCTAGGTTTAATATTGTTATACATTGATCTACGTTATGCTTTCCAGAAAATGATGTGAGTGATGTAAAGTCATGATGACCCTTTCATTTATCATTCGTTGCAAATTATTCTGTCACTTCTTCAGATGTTGGTCGCAAAGTAATGGATAGAAATGTTAGTTTTCTGAAAGAGAATATGGAACCTAACTTGCTAAAAGATAAACTGCGAGAGAAACGTGTGTTTGATGAAATGGACTTAAAAGATTTAGAGGTAAGTGCAAATTGAATCCTTTTGATAATATCCACAATATTTGCATAAAATGTTGAAGAATAAAGGTAAAATATTGTTTTAGCTCAAATTCTCACCATTGCATTTTGTCCGTGAAATTTGAGAATGATTTTTCCGCTTGATGAAATATAATGCATCGAGCTTAAATACTTTGTTTAGCATAATCTGGGGGCCCTTTTCAAAAAGTTATTATGAAATATTCTAAAGAGGGCAAAGTTTTGTTGTCAAACTGGTTCATTAACTTTACATGGACTTGCATTTGAAGAGAAATTGAAATTATTTTGTCTATATTTCATTACTAAAGCTAAAACGGAAATCATTTTTTTGAAACTTAAACAGGCATCTCTAAATAAAAAAAAGTTAAAAAGTACTTAAGCCTCAGATATGTGACACGCATCCCGCAGTGTATGTCAACTAAAGATATTTTTGTTTGTTTGTTTCGATTTACAGCAACACTGACACATTATTGGGTAATACTACGTCGAACATTAATATTAATACGTAGACCTAAAATATGATGGTACAAGATAGTTAACCTTAGAATGGAAGGGTCTTCCTTTAAAAAGTCGACCGAGTCTATAATGTTCATGTAATTTTGTTGAAAGTCATGCTTCCGAGGAATCACAGTGTATCGAGATTTTAAGATGTAACTGAGGCAAATAAGAAGAATTGACTCGATAAGATCTATCACGAACATGTTATAGCATTCAAGAAGAAATATGCGACAGAAAAATATTTATTACAAAGTGAAGCATCATGACTTGTTAGCTCACCTGTCACACTGTCTACCAAGTTTGTTCAAATAAAAGCCCTGGGGTCAAATTTGGCCCCACCTTGGGGTGTCATTGATTTTCCTTATATGTATACAGTAAAAACTTTAAACATCTTTTTAAAAACCCAAATACCTAGAGCTTAGACATTAAGCATGAAACATCATCTATTGAGCGTCTACCAAGATTGTTCAAAAGCCCTGGGATGTGGATGTGTACCAAGTTCTTTCAAATAAAATCCCTTGGGTCAAAATTGACCCCGTCCCGGGGGTCATTGATTTTCCTTATATTTATAAACTAAAAACTTTAAAAATGAGCAATAGCTTAGATATTAACATCTTCTAATTGGGTATCTACCAAGTTTGTTCAAATAAAAGCTTTTGGGTCAAAATTGGTCCCCAGGGGGTCATTGATTTTCCTTAAATGTAAACGTCTTTTGGAACTGTTGTTTTCCCATAGAGCAACCAGTAATGTTTTACACATGCACTATTTCAAAAACAAATATGAACTTTGTGATATCAGTTTTATATTAAAAATTTATATCTGCTTTTGTTTATAGTTTACAATATTACTTGTTCTTTATCATGGAAGGTTTATATATTCAGATGAGCGATTTAAAGGCCATCATGGCTCTCTTGTTAGAAATCTTGTATGTCCAGTTCTGCATCTAGGACAAACAACTTGATCATGACGGTTAAGGAGAAAAGAGATGGTGATATATCAGATCAAAGGGTTGATATCATGAAGTCACAGTTAAATCCATGCAGAAAAATAAATTAACTTATTGAACGTTTAAAGTCAATATTTAATAACGTTAAAACCACTTGTTGAGAATTTAGCGAGTCTTATGGCAAACCATCTTCTTCTTCATTTCCTCTAATCCATGTCGTGACTTCAAACAAAAATTTGACTGTCTTGGTTTTTGA